TGTTGGGTATATGAATACTCCAACTGGTTTGGGTTGAATAAATATGTGAACCTAGGATAAAGTGTTATGTAGCTTTAAAGCTAGAAACTGCAATGTCATTGTGGGTGCGGTTGCAGGCAGCCATATAGGTAGGAGGGGAAACGTAATAGCCCCGGCTTCTGGATGCAACTGTCTGAGTCCGGCTTCTGGATGCAACTGTCTGAGTCCGGCTTCTGGATGCACCTGGTTACTGTTCCAGGTCTGCTGTCTGCTGTGTTGGTCTATCTGCTTACCTTGGAGGCTACTGTGCCAGATACCATTTCACCTGAACACAAGGACTGTTTACTGGTGAGCTGTGGATTCAGCGTTAGTACTTGAGAGAAAGGTATCTTAAGAAGAAGATATACAAGCAGATAAAGAGATTGTATTTACTGTTTAATGGACTTGATAACTGGATAGATAAACTGGATACTGACATATGGACTGAATGACTATTCTTAATCTCTGTATGAATTAAATACCTATTTTAAAACCACAAACAGTGTTTTGTCTCAAGTGTGTGTATACTCTAGGGCCCAGCCTCTCTCTCATTTGGCTGCCTGGCTTGACTGCTGCTGCACACTCTGCTAAGGGGTTTATCCCCAAACACTAACACATACTCTCAAGTGGTCATAAATCATCAGACCACGGCAGCAGAACTCCAGCGAAGGTGAAGCTGCCTGTCCCAAAGAACAAAGGGGGCAATATCATTAGTTTTGGGTTGTGGAACTTTTGAGTCTCTCACTTGGCATCCACTGGTGATCCTCACTGGTTCATCAGAGGAGCAACCAATTAAAAACCACTAGTGATACTCAGGTATCCCACCTGTGATCTGACCAAAGTGCTGAGGGCACTCATGATAGAGCCATTCGAGCCACTGTGGTCGGCTAGCTTACATTTGCTCACTTAAGGTGGTTTTCCTAATGGCCATTACATTGGCCAGATGGATATCAGAACTAGCAGCGCTATCCATTAGGGGGGATCTTTGCATATTCCACCCAAACAGAGTAGCATTGAGGCTAGATCCTACCTTTATCCCGAAGGTGAATTCTGCATTCCATAGAGTGCAGGAGATAGTACTGCCAGACTTTTGTCCGAAACCAGTCCATGAGTTAGAAAAGAAGTGGCATTCTTTGGATGCTAGAAGGGCGATACGCATATACATAAAGAGAACAGGCTCTATTAGGAAAACTGAATCAATGTTTATATCATTCTAGCCTGATTCTTCGGGATACAAGGTTTCACCATCGACCATAGGTTGGTGGATTAGGGCATGCAGTACAAAGGCTTATGAGATCCAATTGTTGCTACTGCCCGGCCAAGTGACAGCCCATTCAACCAGGAGTGCAGCCACAGCTGCGGCTTGGAACATCCAGGCCTCTATCGAGGAGATCTGTAGGGCACCAATGTGGTCATCACCACCTCTGTTCATCAGGCATTATAAACTGGATGCTTTCGCATCAGTAGAGGGAGTCTTTGGAAGAAGTAGTGGGGACTCAGGATCAGACTACTACCCACCCTTAGGACAGCTTTGGTACGTCGCACGCTTTGGATTCTCTGACCAGTACAACTGAGTGTTGTCTTACCTGAAACATATCTTCTAGTTGTACTGAAGGAGAATCCAAACCCACCCTGACAATGTTGGCCCCTGAGTTCAGGAGCATCCAGGAAGAGCACCAAGAAAATCTCCAGTCAATCATTTAGCCTTCATCAAAAACTGGGCATGCCCAGTAGGAGGCGGGATTAAGCTTTGATTGACTCAGTCTACAAGCAAGGAAGCAGAGACAACCCATGCTTTGGATTCACTTCCAGTACAACTAGAAGATGCATTTCAGGTAAGACCAATGTTCTTTTTCATGTTTTCACCAAAAATAAGTGTTCTAAATTAATTGGGGTTTAATTTAGCACAGCAAGTTTGTATAGTGGGTTGATTTACCTATCACACTAATACATGATGCGGTTTGGTTTTGGATTTATGCCAAATCCACTTAATATGCCAACACAATTATAGTTCTAACAACCATAGTTAAGCAAACTATGTCTAAGCAGGCTGTGAACCTAGTTATTAATATGAACATGTATTATGAATATTTTTCTAAATCAGCTGCTGGGAAAATACAAATGTGTTATATAATTGTGAAAATGATTTTATAAATCAATGCAATGTGTGAAAGAGGTCAAAATAATGGTGAGGCATTTCTGAGATGTGGACAATTCAAATGTAGTCAATCCTATACATATTGCTGATAGTATCTTAATCAGTTCGGAAGAATTTAGTTTGGTGTAAGTATATGTAGAATTGTACCAGGTTTTACTTATTCATGCCATTGTACTGTTCTAAAAAGACACACTTTCAGAACATTCATTTTCAGATCTTCAAGATGGCTGAAAATTTGGCTGTGGCCAATATTTGTATTTGATTCAATGATGGCATATTCACTATTAAATGAAGATTGTTATTTCTAAAACCACACAGCAATTATCAAAGATTTGAAAAAAACCAAGAAAACTAAATAAGGCGTTGAATAGCTTTATTGAAATTTTTATAAATAAAACATGCGCATTTCAAATGTAAACCCAAGTGAACTCAAGTGCAGACAATTTTCAACCTCTGTCATGCAGGAGGCTAGCTTACATTGAAAAAAAGCAGCTTTAAAATACCAGGATTAAACACCAGCTTTTAATATCAAAGTATAAAGCAAAGCCATGTCCACAAACCTAATTTTATCCTGGTCAAATGCAATTTTAAACTTTTAAATGCTAACATAAATAAATAATTTACCAAAATGTGCACTCACAGAGTGAACTTTATTTACAATACACAATTTATAACCTATTGTATTTGCTTAGTTCAAGTGAAGATCATACTTTTTGCTTTAACAATGGTGGGACCTTAGGTAGTAGATATGTGAAGTGTGCCTCCACACTTAAGAGAGTTTCTATCAAAGACAGTATTGTATATGAATCAACAATACTTTTCTTCAACTATCAAAGGGAAAGCGGCAAACAAAAACGTTTCAAACGGTCACACTTATTTTTGGCATCCCATACTCCTTCAACACAATTAAAACCCAATTCAAGGTATGTATACTTTATCTACTTACTGTACAGGTTCTGACTCTCGAACATGCAAATGCCAATTCTTCTATATTAAGTAAAGTTACCTTTTGAGATAAGATGTAAGGCTATGGTGAATCCACCAAGAACGCACATGAAAAATTATCAGACCTACCTTTGAACCAGTTGCCCATTAACAAATTTGAAGGCAAGTTATATGGAAAAGTCATCTAAGCTTGATGCACAATCATTACTATGAATACAGTATACTATTAAAAATCGGAACCTATTACACTGTATGTAGTTTGTAAACTGTCAAACTACTAAAAATTGGGAGGAAGAGAAGGACTTACAGCACAGTCAAAATTTTTGGACTGACACCAGATTAAAGTTACGCACATCTTATAAACAAGATAACAGGGATTATGTTTACAAAGTAGATCCAACAAGCAATGAGGGATACTTACATTTAATTGAAAAATTCAATTCCTTAATGCAGCATGAAATCCAGAACCTGTTCCACAGCAGCAGTAAGATGAACATAATATTCTGGAAGATTACTTTTATTACAAAAGGTTAAAACACCTTTTCCAAGTCATTTTATCATGATTAAGTTTCTTTTTAATCAACATTTGAGGGAGACACTTGAAAATGACATTCCAAGAATGCTGCTGCATTGAGTTGAATATACTAGTCAATGTTTTTGTTACCGGTCTAAGGACATATCCACTGAAAAACTGAGGTTTTGCAGTAATAATCTTGGGGTATTGAGACAAAAAAACAAATCCAAAATTGTCAATATTAATTTGCATCCAAAACAAAGAAACTGTAATTCATCCAGATTGCAGCAGAAATTGTAAAGGGATTTATTTTGATTTCCTATATAGCTCGTAAATACAAGATTGCAAAGATATTAGAGACAAATTCTAGTGTTTTCATTGTGTTTCACTTCAGGTACTGCACAAGTTAAAATGTAACAAGGATTTACATTCTGTTATCTGAAATTTCCCATCTCAGATTTTATTTTTAATTTGGTGAATAATTTCATTTTTAAAATTGAGAGCTCCCATCTGTATGGCTTCTAGTTCTTCAATTAATTAGTGTGCATACAATTTTCATTTTCTATATCATTGTCATTCTCATTACTGTCTTCATCACTCTCTAATGGAATGCCTGTAGCAGCAGAAGCACCTTGTTTAGTTTCCCGATCAAGAGGGAAAAAACCAGTTCCACTGATTGTGTCCTGTCTCTGATAGAAGAGCACATAGGCTGCTTTGGACTGCAAAAAAAAAAGGGAGAAATGTTAATTATCAAAGTTAAACTACCTGTTTTAATTACTTCAATTTTCAATTTTATTATAGTAAAATATATTCAAATTAAGGACAATACAATTCATTCTATTGCTTTCATACATAAATAACTAGTCTCTGCCTTTGGCAAATAGTTATACTGATACTGCATTTAATTCCTAGGTTTTTAGTAATGGTCAGATGTTTGCACATGGATAATACAGGCAGAAGTAGCCCATCACAAGGCATAAATGAGAACTGACCATGAGAGAGATGAATAAAGAGGAAGCATATTAGGAAAACAGGATTTATTTTGAATAAATATGCTACAAATCAATTAAATTTGATCAAATAGAACTAAGCAGGGCAGGGAGATATAGTTACTAAACTAACTTGAGGCAGTGGATAATCTCAAATACATTAGCACTGTAGCTCACTGAAAAAGAGACTAAAAAATCTTGTTTGGGCATAAGCTAAAAGCAATTGAAAAGCAACTCTTTTTTCCTAAATCTGCCAATAAAACTTTAAAATAACACTTGGGGAACATCAAATCCTAGCAAAGGATGATTTTTATGTATTTGCTTTAAAAATGCAGGTTCACATGCCTGGAGATGAGAGGTGAGTGTAGGCTGACAGGGCGGGGAAAGCCAGTACTTCTAGCGCCCATGAAGAAGCCAGCCTTGGAGCAGTTTAAAGGAGGATCGCTCCTCCGCCCCAGGCATGTGTTTTCCAAACCCGGTTCTGGCTGCAGCCATGCACACTTTTCCTTTTGCTCAGAATATCAGCAGGTAAAAGAGCCAATTTAATGTCTTTTTAGACTACCTGTTAACCCGAAATGAGTTTAATAGATTCCTACTGTAGAGGTAGTCCTTGACCACAACTGAGTCCAAAGCTTCTGTTGCTAAGCAAGACAATTGAGAAGTAAGTTTTGATCCATTTATGACTATAATTGTTAAGTGAGTCACTGCAGTTAAGTTAGTTCATTTAGTGACCATTTGAAGTTACAATGGCACTGAAATGACTGCTTTTCAACTTACAATCATTGCAGCATCCTCATGGTCACATGATCAAAATTCAGATGCTTGTGAACTGGTTCATATTTATGACAGTTTTCCTGGGATCATGTGATCAACTTTTGCAACCTTCTGACATATTCACTTAACAACTGTGTTATTAACTTAACTGCAATGACTTACTTAACAACTGTGGCAAGAAAGGTTGTTAAATGGGGCAAAATTCACTTAGTATCAAAGGAGCAGCTCCTCACTTTGTGGCTGCTGCAATTAATATGAGAAGCCCACCCAATGTTTTGAGCACAGTTAACATCTCCAGCCCAATTAGTTCTCCGTTAACACTCACCACACCTGTTAATTTACTAACTCCAGTTACTGCACCAGTGAACATCACACGTCCAGTTACTATCACCTCACCAATGAATCTCCCAACACCAATGACATTATCTGGCCATTTAAATATAGCCATGAGACCTGTGGAAAGCATGCCTTTCCTTCCCCAGGCATTGCCAACCTCTCCCCACAGTAAAAAAAAAACAAAGAGCAAAAACTTCATGCAGAATTAAAAAGAAAAATAGAAAAGGGGGCTGCTGTGTATTGTTTAATGGACTGCTAAATTGGCAAAATGGACTGCTAAATTGGCCATGCCCACCTAGTCACATGACAACTGGCCACACCACCCAAGCCACACCCACAGAACCTACAGTAAAAAAAATTTTGAATCCCACCACTGCACACTGCTTATCTTCTGCAGTGTTCTCTTTCATTTGAGGTAGCTCCAGGTTGCACAAGGCTTTTGTTCTTGAAGTGGCTTTACAGAATGCTCTTCTGCAGCTTCTGTAGCCTCTGAAAACCATGGAATAGCATAACCTGTTCTGTGATTTTCAGAGGCCCTGGAAGCAGTGCAAGAACATATACCTTCATGAAATTCCCAGAATGTCCAGAGCTGCATCACAGCACACCTCATTTTCATGAGGATTTCACAACCTCCCAAAATTATACAAGAATAGGGCATGCTACCAAGAATAGTGGTTGGGTATTGGGGAATACTGGTATGTCACCCAAAATATTGTGGCATGTCACATTTGACATGTGTGATATAGGTTTGTCATCACTAGGGACCTTACTTCCAGGAATGAACTGAACCATTTAAAGTCTGTTTACAAATTGATTGCTAACATTTCATAAAGAATGGAATCTAAAAATAGACTTTGTATGCTGCATTGCTTTCTGAAATACCTCCTAAGGTCCATACAGTAATATTGGATGAAAAATATTTATTAAGTAAAGGTACAAAGTAATTTCAGTGATGTGCACAGGATAAGAAGCAAGAGCACTCTGGTTTTCTGGATGAAATTGACAAGATTCACTTACAGCATTTATAATGGTGCTTTGGATTTACATTTCCAGATTGGCTGCATGAACAACAATACAATTCATAAAGTTTTATATTATTACAATGTGTTTTATGGCATAGTAAAACATTATATCACTCGGATCTTGTTCCTGTGCAATAATGCTATTTTTTCTGAAAACTGATACTTGCCACAATTTGTTCTTCGGATGCAGTCGACACACTGCTATCATCAAAGTAGTACCACTTCCCATCATCTTTATTTTTTGCAAAAGCAGTATCTAGAATAAGAAAAATCATTTTACTCAAAATGCTAGTAACAGCCATAGTAACCATAAAGTCATACATACAAAATACATTACTTACAATGCCCTCCTCCCATGCCTCCATAGTGATTTGACACTGCAATCAAATTATAGCGACATGGTCCAGCGTTTGGATTAATTAGGAATTCAGACATATCCAAATCACTATTTTTAAAAAAACAAACAAAATTAGTTTTCAAAAACTCTATTATCAGTAATTATCATTTTCTTCAATAATGAAGAAAGCAATAACTGAATCACTAAAAATTTATGAGATTGAAGACTTTGTAAAAAAAAAAAACTACAATAATTTATCAACAGATATAGTTTCTAAAATAATTTAGTGTGTCACACTTTTTTGTAAAAGATCAAGTTAAAAAGTTGAAGTTCACTTAGTGACAACCAATCTCATACCATATGTAAACAATACCTGTATGAGGAAAGAACATATATATTTGCTTTGTATTTCTTGAAGGAAACAACATATAAATCTACTAAATAAAGTGATCCTTTACTTATTTGGTGTATGTATGTATGTATGTATGTTCATCATTCTGTCAGCTACTTCATGCTGCTTCAATCAAACAAGCTTCATTCATAAGCATGTTCATATTTTGTTCAGAAGCATTTTTCTTTCAGGTAAGAAAGAAAGGTTTCTTACTCTGATCTACCTCATAAAACTGACACATAATTCAAAATAAATGAATAATTCTATACAGATAGGACCAAAGTTTTGTCTACATATAGAATTACTTGGTGTGATTACTTAATGTAGGGAAATGTATTCACATTTAATTAAAACACTGGAGAGCAAGCAGTTTTTTGGATGAAAAAGGCAACATAATACTATTCAAATTAAAGTATACTAATTTAGTCTATATAATAAATGAACTTATAGTATAGTTCTGAAACTTCAGAAAAGCAAGAATATTCTCTGTCATTTCAATATAACATACCCAATGGCCTATGCCTTATCTTCTTCCTCTTATTTTAGAATTTTTTAAAAATCAGATACGTAGGTTCATTTTCAGGCAACCATAACCTAAAGTATTGTTAAGTTCCAAATGTAATAATCACACTTCCATAATTTAGTTATATCACTATGTATATTCATCAGAATAATAAATATTATAGAATATACTATTATACTGGTATAAGCTTTTGCAGCTGGCATCAATTAAACAGTTATGAGCATTTGGACTAAATGGCCAGGATCAGGACAAAAGAAAAAAAGGCCATGGCCATTCAGCCTGAAAGCTTATCCCTGATTCATTATATAATATTATAAATACCTAATATATATTCTTGCAAACAAGTAGAATAAATCTTTGTAAAAGTACCCCAAGCATATCAACAGTAAACACAAAGCTATCCATTAGTGATATGTTCTCACTTTATTGGGAAGTCAACCAATGTATCCAATTTATCTCTCATGTATCTGCTATAAGAAAAACGTTTTAGATGCACCACTAGTACTGGTGGTAGCGACCACAAATCTAGTTTCTTGGTAGCTTGCTGATGTTCTTTACAGTTTGGGCAATACCTAGAGAGACCAAAAAATCTTGTTAAAGACTTATTTTACAATTAAGTATGTGGCAAGAAAAATATGAAGATAAACTTTTCTTACTATGCTTAATTTATTAAATGCTTGTTACAAATTAAAACCTTAGAGATATATTTTTTCTGTTTTCCCTGAGACTTGTGGACATATACTATCAGTCCTATTATGCAAATACTGTAGTAAAAAAACTTTTTTACTTTTTCTTTTTCCTTCTAGTCTTTAAGCTTATCTATGAAAAAGGGGGACACAGGGGGCTTGACTACTGCTCTTGGGCAGGAGATGAAGGAGGGAGGGATGTGTCTAGTATTTTTTCTACACGTTAAGAAAATAGAGAAAAAGAAAGTGAGTTATGTACAGTATTACATAACGATTATTTTTCAGTAAATATAGGTCTGGTTAAATAACTATAGATCTTGCAGCTTAGAAAAAGATGATTCTTTAGGAAGCTATTGACGTGTACTGTAAACACACCCACATCATATCTGAAACATCTCTGCTCTTTGGAAAAAAAAACACCAGCCACACTATTCTACAATGTATACTAAGCTTAGAAACTATTAGTAAACTATCAGAAAAGTGAAAAGTATAGAAATTTCAGTAAATTTTGATCTTACCATGGATCTTCAGCACCCAACTTTTCTTTAGTTGTAAATAACTCAATGCAATCTTTTAACTTCACAAATGGTTTTTTTGGAGGTCTATATTCCACACTTTCATGTTTTTCAAAATCCTAAAGAGAAGTATTTCTTGAGTTAAAAGAACAAATGAAACAAAATTCATTTTAGTGATTTTTGTCTTTCTGTAAAAAAGAGCTATACGTTTACTAATGGAAAAATATGCCAAATTGGAAAGTAGAACTTTGCTAGTTTTAATCTATTTGGAAGTCTTTGAAAAAAAGACATTATTCGTGAGTGAAAGTGTTATTTTGCATGTTCCAGTTTCATCTAATTTTGTGGAGGGAAATTTGGATAAATTATGCAATGGGGTGAAAGGAGGATAACTCAATTCATTTTATACCATTTCTTCAGGAAGGGAGTTTATCATGACAGCAAAGCATGCAGATGATTTTTTTTTTTATGTTAAACCCAAGTCTGATCAAGCAGACTTTCATTTGTGCCTCAGGTGATATCTTCTACATCTCAGACCATGACTATTTTGGCCCAGGGAAAATGAATCTGATTTGAAAACAGCAACTATTCTCAGATAACGGATAATCAGAGTTGGAAGGGACCTTGTAGGTCATCTAGTCCAACCCACCCCCGCCCAAGTGGGAGACTCTACATCATTTCTGACAAATAGCAGCCCAATCTCTTCTTGAAAGTCTCAAGTGATGGCGCTCCCACAACTTCCGAGGGCAAGCTGTTCCATTGGTTGATTGTTCTCACTGTCAGAAAGTTTATCCTTATTTCCAGGTTAAATCTCTCCTTGTTCAGTTTCCATCCATTATTCCTTGTCTGGCCTACAGACGCTTTAGAAAATAGCTTGACCCCCACCTCTCCGTGGCAGCCCCTCAAATATTGGAAGACTGCTATCATGTCTCCCCTGGTCATTCTCTTCGCTTGACTAGCCATGACCAGTTCCTGTAACCGTTCTTCATATGTTTTAGTCTCCAAACCTCTAATCATCCTGGTTGCTCTTCTATGTACTTTTTCTAGTCTCAACAATTCTACTGATAAACTCTTTGATAAAACATTTCATTTTTAAAAATTGGCTGCCAGCTGACAGTAGATACTGTCCTTCCTTCCTGAATGTATACAATTTTTACAATAAAGTAGTTTTCTTCCATGATAAACTGACTACACATAATTTGGAAAGATCAAATGGATTCGTCTAATTTACCACTTTCAAACAACGTGACAAATATTTAGGTAGTGTAACAACTTTTTTTTCTGTTTATTAAATATCACATACCTCAGCAGCATTTTCATCGAAGTATCTTTTCTTGAATTCAGGATCCCAGTCCAAAGCCAAGAAAGATCTTTCTAAAAGGAAAAAGATAATACAAGAATTTGAAATTATGCATTAATTTCAATTAAGGAAATATTACACTTCTGAATACTAATTATATAATATTAAATTATAACTCTGTACTTTAGAAAATCATAACCATATCGATTTAATTTCCACTTTTAAATAAAAAAATATATGAATTTTATTTTGCAATGCAATGGAAATCAACTACCAAAAGTTATTATAATTTTATATTAAAGTGCTCAAATGTGGGGTACATGATAAGAAACTTTTTTTTGAACACACATATATAAAACATCTTCAGCATCTTGCTCGGTTGAAACAAAATACAGATGGATATATAGAGAAAAGCAACCAGGATGATTAGGGGACTGGAGGCTAAAACATACAACGAACGGTTGCAGGAACTGGGCTTGGCTAGTCTAGTAAAGAGAAGGACCAGGGGAGACATGATAGCAGTCTTCCCATATTTGAGGGGCTGCCACAGGAAGGAAGGGGTCAAGCTATTTTCTAAAGCACCTGTAGGTCAGACAAGGAACAATGGATGGAAACTGAACAAGGAGAGATTTCACTTGGAAATAAGGAGAAACTTTCTGACAGTGAGAACAATCAACCAATGGAACAGCTTGCCCTTGGAAATTGTGGGAGCGCCATCACTTGTGACTTTCAAGAAGAGGTTGGACTGCCATTTGTCAGAAATGATCTAGGGTCTCCCGCTTGGGCGAGGGGGTTGAACTAGATGACCTACAAGGTTCCTTCCAACTCTGATTATCTGTTATCTGTTATTATAAAGGATCTTAAAGGACGAATAAGACAAGACTGGTGTGCCTTCCTCCTCTTCCTTCACTTTCTAACCTGTTGATATTTTGAGTACCTTTCTTTCTCCACCTTCCCCACCAATGTTTCCCACATATCACCCCACCACAAATAACCTGCTTGTTGGAATATATACTTCAGTCCAGATATGGATCACCTGGAATGGGCTTTTCTGTGCACTATTGTGAGGAAAATTGCAAAGGCTTGATGACAACTTCAGAGATTTTGAGAAGTGGCAGCCTTGGACACAGAACATCATGGTTAACTTCTGGTGGGACTTGGATAGTGGAACTGTAAGAATCAACTTACTTCTAGACCACTCGGCAACTTTTGATACTATCAACCACAATATCCTTTGTGATTGTCTTTGAGGAGCCACTGTATTATGATAATTTTCCTATTTTTTGAATGGGGGGATCTAGTGGTGGCTATTGCAGTGAAGAAATATGGCCGGCAGGGGGTTCCATATGGAGTACCCTCTCCTGTTTAACACCTATATCGAGCCAGTCATCAAGCCAGCAGTTCAGGGTGAGGTATCATCTATATACATATTATAGTTATCTGCATATCTCTACTCTGGGGCAAATGGAGCAAAAGGCATAAATCTTGACTCAATGTCTGGAGGCTGTAAGTTCGGTTTAGCAGTTACGGCAACAGGCTAGAAAGCAAAAGATGAGTTCAAACCACACAGGGGACCTTCGGCCAGTCACTCTCTCTCTCAGTCTAACTCACCTTACAGGGTTGGTAAGGAAAAATAGGAGGAGGAAGTTGTGTTTGGTATGTTTGCAGCCTTACGTTATTTGTAAAAATAATAAAAGGTGACATATAAACAAACAAATAAATTAAAAGAGGACTAGATGTGTGGAAATAGGCTCAGATTCAACCCATCCAAAATGGAATGGTTATTCATTAAGATATTTTCTGAATCTTGGTTCCTAATACAGTATGTTCCTCTTTGGATAGCACATCCTTAATTTGGGGTTCTTTTGGATTCAAAGAAATGCTGTGGATACCAAGATCTTTGACAAGTTGCAGCTCTAATCTTAACAAGAACGGGGTGGGTGGGGATTACTTTAAATAGTAATTCATGTCTGTCATCTTCCACTGCGTCACTGTGATTTGTTTTGCAAAACAAAACATGACAGCTATTCAGATACCCACAAATGACTAATAATGGCATTGGTGAATAAAGAAAGGTTTCTTTTGATTACATGGTTTAAGCAGAAGTCTATTTTATGCCTACAACTGGAAAAGCAATAGATATAAAAGATGCATAAAATGTAATAATTACTGCAAAAAACAAGTATGAAAAAAAAGTAGAGGTGAAGAAGAGACATCAAATAGAGTAAGGAAATAAATCTTTAAAGGGTTTAAAGGGGTAGAAAATGCCAAAAAAAATTGTGAAAATAAAAGATGTATTTATTTTTCATACTTAGGAATTGCCCATTTTCCTCACAGAGGGATTCTGAGCAGCATACAAATAAAATATTAAAAGCATTAAAAACATTATACAAAATTAAAAAGAGGCAAGGAATGTTAAAAGAATAATTTAAAGGCAAGGAAAGGATTTCAGCTGCTAACCAGCCCCATGGCTGCATGCTTTTCTATGTGTGTCAAGCAGGCAACCTTTCTGGAAAATCAGGAGAGGCCAGGAGAGCGGTGGCCCACCTCAACTCTGGGGAGAGAGTGCTCCATAGAGTGGGGGTAATGGGAGAGAAAGCTCTTTACCTGGACCCTGCCAGTTAAAATTGTTTTGGATAGAGTTAAAAATATTTAAATAACAGCAGAATAAAGACATTTTTAAAATATTAAATGATTGGGATGAATCTGAAGAGAAAGCGGCCTGAATGGAGTATTTTAGAGATATGAATGGGAATGATAGTGATACATTGAAGTATGGAATTACAACTTTATCTACAAATGTGGAGTCCAAGAAAATATGGGTAGGAAGGAATTCATAAAACTGGGAGAAAATGTTGAAAAATAATCTACATATATGATGTATGTGAACAAATATTAAAACATGGATATGGTTTGTTTATGGAGCCATGTTTAACTTGTTTAATGGGAATCTGAATGCTCTGTCATTTGGAAAAATGTCATTATTGTTTCTCTATAAAAGTAAAAAATGGTAAGAATGAATACAAAAACTACAAGGATTTGTTTGTTAAATTTATCTAGCAAGGTGTAAGGGGAAATTCTGATTGAAAAAGTAAAAAAGCCAACAATGAGCAAACTTTGGAAAGTGCATTGTGGTTTTATGGTAGGGGATATATAGTAGTCTGAAATGTAAGATTTTACATTGCAGCAACATATTTAATGCTTTTTAAAAATATATTTATTCAATTTATCATTTTCATTGTATACCTTTGGATTTACCCTAAAAGTTGACAAATATTATTTACTCATTGACCAATAATCGTAACATTTGCAAAAATCCAATTTATTCTGTATAAACTTACCATCTAGTCTAAGTTGTCTGTCATCAAATCGTATATGCCTAGTATCATCTTTGACATAATTGATGTCTGTATTGCCTAAGCTGTTGAACTGGAATGTGAACAATCTTTTTTTGTGCCCTATAAGTTGATCCTTGCAGGAATCCTCTGTGCATAATCCATTTTCAGAATCATTATCACCTCCTACAGAATCTTCCGACTGACTGTTTTCATTTTCAGATGGCAGTTCTTGATCCTGGCTAGATTCATCATCTTGTTCATCAGTTTCCATCTCACCTATGATGGAAGACATAATGATATCTTTGACTTTTGGATATGTGGATTATAAAATCAAGGCATAAAGAGTTACAGTATGACTATCTTTTTCTAATGAAAAATTCTGAAACACAAATTTACAAATTGTTTGTGTTAGAAGTTGAAACACATGCATAAAACTAGATTAACAGAACTGTATATAAACTATTCTCATTGAGAAACCAGGACAGGTAAAGTCTACCTGATTTACCTTAAGTTTGAATGATTTATTAAGCCAAAAGAATGTTATTAATAATAATAAATAATATGGATTCTAATCAATTCAGATATTTCTTTAAATATTATAGGATTGAGGATATCACTGGCTGTTAAAAAGAGGTAAATGGTCTAAACTCAAATATTTCAGAACAATAAAGGAGAAAAACTTAATCTGTGTATATTCTATACTAATCTATTTTAAGCAATTTCCAACTTATTCCACTATATATGCTAATTACAAATTAAACTATTAAAAAAAAGAGTAACTCTGATTCTTTAGAATTTTATTCAATCTTTCTGCTAGGACTTTTCATAGATTTCATTAAGTGTTGCCCATAGTATTTTAAGCCAAATAATTAGAATTGTATAGCAAGTCAATGAAATGAAAAATACATATAAATGGCACCATTCTATCAGATGAAAGAGCACGGTTATTACAAAGCCACTTTCTTTCACAATTTCTCTATATAAAATACATTTATTTTAAAAGAGCACAGAGCAATCTCATGAGACATGTAAAGTATTAAACTTTTTAAAATAACATACTTTTAACACAGTTCACACTAACTGTGAATTATAATATACAGTACATGAAATAAGATTGGATCGTTTGACAATAAAAATGTCCCTTATGTTTGTACTTTTTAGCTTCATAAGTATTAGGGAGTGACCGTTTTCTACATTTATTAGAATGTTAATAAGGATTATGGATTAAGGATAACCAAGATGCTGAAAGGCAATTGACAAGACAAAATAAGCTTTAAAGGAAGACAACAGAGTTTAATGTTAGAGCAGCTTTTTAAATTCAAGCCTTACTTGGAGATCCTTCTTCATGAATTCCATTTGGACCATTACCATTGATACTATTGTCCTTGCAGCACTGGAGAGATGCTTCAGTGTCTTCTGTTTCAGCAGAGGTTTTCACATATCGACTGAAATGCACAATTATTATACCAACCTTTTTGTTACAATACTTTTTAAACATTTTATAATGCAATGAAATTAACCATTAAAAAGTTTGGAAATCGAGTAATGCTGTATTTGTATTTTATAGTTGTGCTACAGCAGCACAACTTGATAAAAATTGCTCTACTTTTTACACACTGGAACACTCTCCCTTTCACATATCGATTGAACCCAATCTTGCTGGGCTTTCATAAGATGGTATGCCTGGCCTAGGGCCCAGAGCGTGTTAAAGACCCAGAGTGTTAAGGGCCCCATTTCTTGGTTGTGTTATGCATGGTAACAGTTCTACTTGGTGCCACCAGAATTTATTTTATATTGTTTATATTGCTTTTAATTTGTTTTTATATTCCATGATGTATGCTCAGAGCCATTTATTGAGATGGATGTATAAATGAAATGAAATACAGTTGTGCTCATAAGTTTACATACCCTGGCAGAATTTTTGATTTATTGGCCATTGTTTAGAGAATATGAATGATAACACAAAACGTTTCTTTCACTCATGGTTAGCGTATGGCTGAAGGCATTTATTTACTCTTTTTAAATCATAATGACAACAGAAACTACCCAAATGGCCCTGATCAAAAGTTTACATACTCTGGTGATTTTGGCCTGGTAACATGCACACAGGTTGGCACAAGGGGTTTGAAACAGCACAGAGACAAGCCTCAAACCTTCTGGCACAAAATCATTTGGAGTGATGAGACCAAAATCGAGCTTTTTGGCCACAACTATAAATGCTACATTTGGAGAAAAGTCAGCAAGGCCGATGATGAAAAGTACACCATTCCAACTGTGAAACACGGAGGTGGATCGCTTGATGTTTGGGGGATGTGTGAGCTACAAAGGCACAGGAAATTTGGTCAGAGTAGATGGCAAGATGAATGCAGTATGTTATCAAAAAATACTGGAGGAAAATTTGCATTCATCAGCCCGGAAGCTCCGCATGGGACGTACTTGGACATTCCAACATGACAATGATCCTAAACACAAGGCCAAGTTAACCTGTCATTGGCTACAGCAGAATAAAGTGAAGGTTCTGGAGTGGCCATCTCAGTCTCCTGACCTCAATATCATTGAGCCACTCTGGGGAGATCTCAAACGTGCAGTTCATGCAAGACAGCCCAAGAATTTCCAGGAACTGGAGGCTTTTTGCCAGGAAGAATGGGCAGCTTTACCATCTGAGAAGATAAAAAGCCTCATCCACACATACCACAAAAGACTTCAAGCTGTCACTGATGTTAAAGGGGGCAATACACCATATTAAGAACTGGGGTATGTAAACTTTTGATCAGGGTCATTTTGATAATTTCTGTTGTCATTATGATTTAAAAAGAGTAAACACAGTTGATTGATAATAAATGGCTTCAGCCAACCACTAACCATGAGTGAAAGAAAAGTTTTTGTGTTATCATTCATATTCTCTGAAAAATGGCCAAGAAATCATAAATTCTGCCAGGGTATGTAAACTTATGAGTACAACTGTAAGTAAATAATTATGTAGCATCACGCAGTCATTGCTGATCCTTCTTTTTAAGATTAACCAGGGAATCACAAAAAAACAGCTTAAAGTTTTTTACCTTTTGCCAGAAAATCTTTATTTGCGATGTGCAAATATTTCCAATATAAGTTAAATGTAGTGTAGCATTTCTCTTGTACACTTACCACATTCTTAATAGCAGAAGGTTATATAGTTTATCTTCCGTGTTATTTCTAGGCACTGCTATAAGGAAAGGTTGTCCAAAATGTGTTGAACCACTATGATGGCTGTAACCACTGTGACGAAACTTTTCCCTTAAACAAACTGGAATTACAACTTGCTCTGTATCTTCAGTTCTATTGATGGCTATTTCAAATCTAAAGCAGGAAAAATGAAGTCAAGCAAAAACACAAAATACTCATTTTAAATTAGGCCATATTTTAAATAATTCAACTAAATCACATACAATTTATGATAAAAATATTATTTTGATTATACATTTGAACTTACACATAAATGTCATCACGTTCCATAATACTGGTTAGATTTTCATCCATTGCAAATATTCTATGAAACCTATGATTATATATATCAGTAACGATCATCTAAAAAAGAAACACACTTTATTTTACATTTGTTTAGATATATAGATAATATTTAGTTTGATGTACAATCACCTCAGAAATATCATACCTTGTCTGCAGCAACACCTGACAAAGTTGATAATGCGATGCAGAGATCCTGTATATTTCCAATTTTTGGTACTACTACTTTGTACTAGAAAATAAAATACAATATTGTCATTCTTAAAACACAAAGAAGATAACTGGATATAATCCCTAATATTTAATATTGAAGTAACATAAGAAAACGTATATGAAAAAGAGCTTTTGAAAATATATATAGTTAGGGAGTTAATTTTTGAATGAGCTGTAAACTTATATGAATCAAAGTCCCAAGTCCATCTTTAAAGGAAAGGAGTTACTAGCTATGACAGTGGCTGAATAGGAAATTTTTGGTGGTGGAAAGGAAATCTATTAATAAACAACTTGGTGATAAAATCCAATTGCCTACAATGAAAAGTGTACAGCCTGTTCCTCTTGCAACATTTAAACAAACTAATGCTCATATCTGAATTTCAAAGCCATCATCCTCCAATTCATACTACTGTTTTTCAAGCTATAATAAAGTATTATAATATTCCTTATGTATATGATTTATAATGAATCCTTAAAACTCATCAATTGATCTAGTAATTCTTACCCCAATACAGTATGTAGGCATTCATTTTATTGTTAGTTTGCTGTACCTTTAAGATATTATTTTCCAAACAAATCAATTTAATGAAATAAACAGATCTGAATAAATAAAGAAAAATATATTGAATTTGCCCTATTCTGATTGCTTATCTAGTACACAACAGGTTTTTCTCACATAAATTGCAAACTGCATTCTTCTGGAACAAATGTTTTCAAAATTTGCCCCTTACAGAATCTCTATATACACTGAGTTCCAGTGCACTACAAACTGGAAACAATGATGTATTTTATTTCCTTTTGAGGAATGCACAAACTCAACTGCAAGCTTATGACTCTCCACCAGGGGTGGGATTCTACCAGTTCACACCTGTTCACTAGAACCTGTTAACATTCTAAGCAGTTTGGAGAACCGATTGTTAGAAGAAATTACTGGCCTAATCCTGTAAGGAAGTCAGGAAGAAAACATTCTGGTGTTGCTTACAGAAACTGCCTGAATGTAACCCTTATTACATTCTTGGCAGGACTAGACTTCCTGACTCAGGAACGTCTCTGGAGTTTTTCCCCCCTCCTTTGCTGGTACTTTGCTTGTGTGGAGTGACCTTCAAAGTTACAATGGCACTGAACAAAGTGATTTATGACCATTTTTCACACTTACGACTGTTGCAGCATCCCCACAGTCATGAGAGGCCAGGCGAGGAGATGCGTGTGATATTGAGTTGGCCACACCCAGCCAATAACATGACCACCAAGCCATGCCCACCACCTAAGCCACACCGGTTGTTAAAAATTTTGAATCCCACCCCTGCTCATCATTGCCTTGTAATGTATTCTACCAATTATCTTAGGAATACAACCTCATTTTAAAATACAAAGATTCTTGAGAATGGCAGCTTGACTATAATGCTGTTCCTTAACTTCTATCAGGTACCAGACCTAATCAAACAGATTTGAACAGATAACATAATGAGAATATTGAAACAGATATATTTTCTTAAGTTATGATGAAAGATGCAAAGATTGGGAACTTTGCTTAACCCAGAAGCCCAACCTTGATTCTTTTTTCTTCCCATAATATATATAAAATATCTGATACTTTGTTCAGTTTTGCTCAGTTTTTTGGTTATAATTGCCACCTGAGGTAGTATTCAGTAGGTTCTGACCAGTTCTGGAGAACTGGTAGCAGAAATTTTAGTAGTTTGGAGAACTGGCAAATACCACCTCTGACTGGAGATTTTACAGTATCCTTCCCTTACCACACCCACCAAGTCACGCCCACAGAACTGATAGTAAAAAAATTTGAATCTCACCACTGATCTCACCACCATAAAAATGATTAAGATTTTGGATAGAACTATGCCCCAATAGCAATGATAAATACTGGGTGATTTTCTGAAATCTGAGCTGAGAGATAGGTGATTTCTTAACAGAACACATGGCTCTAGAAATATGGTTAAATTATGAGGGAAATGAAAATTATATTTATAAATTATATTATTTAATATCAATCATGTTGAAAAATCAAAATGCTTTACACACTTTTTGTCTTATAATAGTTCTACCGTGTTTCTCATATAATAAGGCCGGGTCTTTTTTTTTTTTTTTTTTTGAGCCCTGAAAAAATGGCTAGGCCGTCTTTTCGGGGGTGACTTAATTCCACCCCCCTTGTATCCTCGGGCGGGCAGGCAGCGATGGTTTGGATGTTGATCTTGGCATTGGTGGGGCACTTCATATCAGGGTCAACGCAGGCAGCACCATATCCGGGTGTGCAACAAAAGTACTTCCTAACAGCAAGCCCCCATTCTCGCCCATTTTGCATTTAATATAGGCCTTAATTTGGGGGGAGGGGCTTAATTTCATTTCATGCCTATAAAACATGCTGGGACTTCCTATTTGGGGAGGCCATATTGTTGGAGAAACAGGGTAGTAATTATTGTGTTGTATCGCTGTAGTAATCATAACATCAAATATTATTATGATTCAAGGGGTGAATAGCTTCCATCTTTATAATGGAACTATAAATTAGGCAAAGTTACAAGTTATATGCATAGTTAAGAGAAAGGACCACTGTATCAAATTGAAAGTGTGATTTGAAATTCATAAAAATAAACAAAATCCATTCTAATTAACACATTAAAGCAACTATTGCTGTAAAATAGGTCATAATTACTCACCTGCATGGGTTTGGAAAGTGGATCAAGTCTAACTAAATAAACTTCCAAACTGCGTTCTTTTTTCATAGGTAGAGGAAGAGTTAAATAACAAAAGGGATCAAATGTTACAGAGATCTTGGCACATTCTGGACAAACTAAGGTTGATTTAAAAAGTCCATGAAATATATCTACAATGATGGAATCATTTCGTTTCAAATGGTTCTCCCAAGCTTCTTCAGCAACTATCTAAATTAAGACAAAATTGAAATAGTACAAATAACTTTTAGGAATCATTTAATACTTAAATGAAATTAACATATCATGCACATACCTATATGTACGATATAGAACTTAACAGTAAGTAATTTTCAGGAAAGATAAACCATTTAGTATTTTTATATATTATCCTCTTTATATTATATTCATTATGAATGCCAGATTATCTCAAACAAAGTTGATGATAATTTTTAGGGTCTTTCATTGGGTATAAAATTCTATTCTAATATCTAGTAGGACCAACTGACCAAGGGAAAGAAATAGAATCAAAAGTAAGAATCTTTAATCATAATATCTATGCAATGCCATTTTGAGATAGTTAATTCCTTAAACATAGGATCTGAATGCATTCATGGACATCTCCCCAGTCCCCATAAAGCATATTTGTGTTTCTCTTTTTTAAATGGAAAAAATGGCTTCCATTTATTAATCTTATTCCACTGAAAATTTCTTGGTACATAAAAATAATGAACAATTATAGACAAGTTCTTGGTTTGAAAGCATTTCTAGCAACCTACAAAAAAAAGAGAACATTGCTGTTGCCTCTGAATCAGAGGTGGTATTCAACTGGTTCGCGCCTATTCAGGAGAACCGGTAGCAGTGCTTTGGCATGGGTCACAGAACTGGTGGTGACCCCTGGCTGGCCATGCTCCTGAACCGGGTCGCCCAGTCGCCTGCTTGTCCCGGTCACTCTCCTAGCTTTCCCTACCATGTGGTGGCCATGGCACAGCTTGGGCGGATGTCCCAGGGCTGCAGTATGCATGTGCAACAGCCTCGAGACATCCGCCTACCTGCCCACCCTCCCGGAGCACATTTTCTTCCTTCTCCCGGCTGATGTGTCTCTTCCAGCCCAGCCCGGCCCGTCCAGCTAGCAGGTGGGTGGGCAGATGTCCCGTGGCTTCTCACCGCCTTTGTCCCAATATGCCTGCAGCAGCCGTTCCCAGGCTTCTATTCTCCCGTGCTTGGTCAACACCTCTTCACCTTGCCTGAAGTGACCGATACTCCTGTCCCTCACCCTCCCCTCCCTCGCTTGCCTGAGAAGGTAAGGGTGACGGCAGGGGATAGTGAAGCGGCTGGGTCCCTATCTTCCCCCCTCTCTGTGTCTGCGTGTGTGTCTCTCCTTCAAAGCCGCGGCTGGGCTTTCCTTGGTGCTCTTTGCTACTTTCATTTCTTCTTTTTGGAATCCAGACTGGCTGAACAAGGATAGCCAGCCACGCTGCAAGCGTCTCTTCGGGCAACCTGTCTCTCCTTCCCTCTCCCCCTCCTCTCGTGACCGGCAGCCGTGGGGGGCGGGAGGTTGGCATGCACACCCGAGGTGAAGGAGGAGGAGAAGGGTCATCCGAAGGGACGCTTCCAGTGCGGCTGCCAATCCTTGTTCAACCAGTCTTGATTCCAAAAAGAAGAAATGAAAGTAGCAAAGAATGCTTGGCCAGCCATGGCTTTGAGACAGACAGAGAGAGAAAGAGGGAAAGAGAGAAAAAGAGGGAATGAGAGAGGAAGGGAGAAGGACAAGAAAGAAAAGAAAGAGAAGAGAAAGAAAGAAAAAAGTGGTCCGGGGGCATTTGTGCAAAGTGCACGAGGCACCCAGAGCTGGCAGGCAGTAGCGACAGCCTTACTGTGCAGGAACTTCCCTTTCTTTCTTGGCTTTTAGATTCCTATTTGCAATGCAACGGGCAGCAAAGCTAGGTTCATCCCCTGATCTAGTAGCTGGAAAAGGGGGTGGAGAGAAACTCCCATTGTCAAGGTACACGCGGGTCGGAGGGGGTGAAGAAATTCAAACTTCAACCTCCCGATGTGGTAAGGGGCTTTGGGCAAAGGCTGGAGGGAAAGGCCTTGGGTTGCTCACACTCTCTTCCTCCCCAGTCAGGAGGGAAATGGACGGGAGAGAGATATCCAATCCAACCTCGTGTGTGTGTGTGGGGGGGGAAGATGTGGCTTCTTGTGGGTGCATTTTGGAGAAGTGTCAAGATAAATGGTAAAAGGGCAATCAGCTTGGGATTAAATTCCAAATGAAATTGGATCTTCAAGGTAAGGAGACACAAAGAACTTTCAACTGCAGGTTTCTAAAAATCTTATTAACCCATTAAACCAGAGGGAGCAAAAGAGAGAGGGTCCCAATGAGGGTCTTAGCTATTTAATTTAGGAAAACAAAGCTATTTAATTTAGGAATAACAAAGTTGAAAGGGACTTTGGGAGTCTTCTAGTCCAACCCTCTGCTCTAGCAGGAAAACTGAGGATGCCAAGTCTGAGTGGAGGGCCAGGCAAAGGTGTCAGAATAATCCTTGGAGGGGACCCTATACCAGGGGTCTCCAACCTTAGCAACTTTAAGACTTCTGGACTTCAACTCCCAGAATTCCTCCCAGAATTTTGGGAGTTGAAGTCCAGAAGTCTTAAAGTTGCCAAGGTTGCCTGACAGAGAAATAGTTGTCCAGTCTCTTCTTGAAAACCTCCAGTGTTGGAGAATCCAGAACTTCTGGAGACAAGCAGTTCCACTGGTTAATTGTTCTCACTGTCAGGAAATTTCTCCTTAGTTTTAGGTTGCTTCTTCTTTGTTCAGTTTCAATCCATTGCTTCTTGTTTTGCCTTCTGCTGCTTTGGAAAATAAATTGTTTTCCCCCCCCCTTTCTTTGTGGCAACCCCTCAAAACCCTGTTTTGTGACCTGCCTATCACATTCTTGGGCAAAGCATATAAGCCATTTCCTCCTTTCAGTGGTCCATAAAAGTACATCTATAGTATGTGGATGCAGATAATAAAGTCAAAAAAAGGTGACATTTTTTACAGAACTACAAATACATTGAGGCTGGGGGTGGCTGGGAGGGGATGGACTGGGCAAAATGCCCCTTGACATGTGTGATGTCGAGTTGACCATGCCGACCCAATCACATGGCCACCAAGCCACGCCCACCCAGTCACATGACCACCAAGCCATACCCACCAAATAAGCCACGCCCACAGAACCGGTAGGAAAAATGTTTGAATCCCACCACTGCTCTGAATGATGAGAAAGCAGTCTGTGAATAGCAGTGGGGCAAACTGAGATTGCTTAATGATGGGAAGAGAGACAGAACTGAGAAGAAAGTAGACAGCAAGTATTTGACATGAGTGAGGTGGGAAAAATAGCAGTTGAAAAGGAACTATATAGAGCAACGCCAAAAGGGAAGGGAGAAGTAGAGAACTTTTTTTATGTTGGATGTGTGAAAAAAGCATCTAGAATGGGAGAATTGCATATGGCGACAGAATAGAGAATCTAGTATTTTCAAAGGACTTGGGATTCTTTCTGGAATTTGGCTACTTTTAATTACATAGCATGTCTTTCTCCTGTCTTTCCCCAAGTTGGTAGGTTAAATGAAATATTATTTAAATAATTAATGCCATATTTCAAAGCCAAGTTTTCTCACATCTTAATAACAAACACTTTAATAATTAAGATCTAGCATTAACATAGGCCTCCTTACAACTTTTCTGTAACAGTTTCAAGTATGGAATTCTGTATACAGAATTTCCTTTTGCTCAAAAATATGAATGGGATCTCTTCAGACCAGAAAGCTGAAACCCTTGCACACCAGGCATCACATCATGCCTTTTACCTGTGCTCAGTTTATTGGGCAGTTATGGTTTTTATCATTTAGAAGTCAGTGTTGACTTCTAGCAACCACATAGACAAACCCTCTCCAGGATGATCTATACTCAAAGGTACTTTCAGATATGCAAGATTCTGTTAATCTAGCCTTACCATAGAATTAATTTATCTGATCATGCTTCCATTCTGGACTACCTTGCAAAGGTGAAAACAATTGTGCAGGTCTAAATGTACATTTCTCTCACTTTGACTTTACAACCCAAGAAAGTCGTGAAAGTCTCTTCAGAGATGTTGGCAATGTCCACATTCCTTTTGTGGATAAGCTTGTCTTTTATCTGACCATTTTCCTGGCTGTGGCTCTCACTCATGTTTCCCAAGGTCATTCCAACATACAATTGCAGTGTGACAGATGTGGATTGAATTGTCTAGATTACGTAGATACATTTTTGCATTTATAACATTTATCCCAATCATATAGACTTATTACCTAAAGGGTACATTACCTTATCTGGTCTTCCATCAGCATCTTTTAGCTGAATATAAGGCTTTTTTCTAATACGATTCAAATCCTCATGCAAACCATCTAAAAGAAATGCCAGCAATTCTTGGCAGTCTTGTTGCTGATATCCTGAAAACTGAGGTGCAAATCGTCCGACCTGTGTCTAGAGAATAAAATATTTTTATAGTGGAGTCATGTGACATTGCAAAGGCATTTTTGTTAAATCAAAGAAAAATGTATTTTGATCTCATGGGCTTTAAAATGTATAACTGTAATACTGTGAAATAAGACTGAAGAAAAGCAAAGGAGTTACTGCTGCAATTTATAGGAATCTCCCATCAAAACAACAACAAAAACAAGCAGGTGCAGTTTTCAAGGGCCTATTTTATTAATATATCTATATTTTTTATTTTTAATACTCTTATTGTTTTGAAGAATCATATAACTGAAAGCAAATAAAACATTATAGAATTCAACTATGTTACACTTACCTTAAAAGCTCTTGGAGTGACATAGCTGTATTTTCCTGACCACATCTGCTTGATGAGCTCTGCATAAGATTTTGCAATTTCACCTCTCATTCCTAATGGATTGTCATAGTTTAGCTCCTCTTGATATTTATCATTAAGGAAATATTCTGTGAGTGGAGGTGTATTGCTGAGACACTAAAAATGAATATGAGTAAAATTAAATACTTTTGTATAATGCATAGTAATAGAGTCTCTCAATGCCATCTTCAGTTTTCATACTTCCTTATCAAGTGTCCTTTTTCCTTTCCTAGTCCTTATATTGATTTAGTGCTACAACAGGTGTCAAACTCACGTTGTTATGGCGGTGTCACGTGACATATCTGGACTCCCCCCTTTTGTTAAACCTGGCTTGGGCGTGGCCAGCATGTGATGCATCCGGCCTGTGGGCCGGTACTTTGATAGCCCTGTGCTACAACACTATTTTAGTACCAGTCAGTAGACAACTAGTTTTCCCAAGTGTACAATATCTTTACCAATTAATCTTTATGCCTGAGTCAACAAGGTTGAAGCATATTTGTTGTTGAAGACTCTTAAGAGGATGGTTTTAGGAGACTTAAACTTCCATATCAAGATTAAATTTATGTTTTACTGACATAAATTTATGTTTGCTCCATCCCATAATTGGTAGACAAGGTTGCCTTCAACGACTGGTCCCACCAGAGAAAAAACACTTCCATGTCAAGGTTTTCTCCACAGTGGCTTAGGATTTTGTGTCTGAAAACATTGCTAATCATAAACACATGCTTCATTTGGTTTTCTTGATTGGACAGAAGAATGGTAATAAAACAATGAGAAATTAATATTTAGCCTCTGTCATGACTGAATGAGTCCTATGAGACACCTGGTTTTTCTCCCCTGTAAGAATGGAAAGCAGACTATTTTGAGATTATTTTAAATTAATGCAGAAATGGATAATTTGTGGTTTACTGTTAGGCTCCAATGTGAGTCAAATCAACAATATGCAGGTCATCAAGTTCCTCATGCTAGATTGATTAATATAACAAAAAAACAGAGGCTCTGGAATATTTGCCTAAGGAATCGTGCTGCTCTGTTTGTGCTGATGATTGGAATGCAGTTGGAGGAATAACTTGTGCTGTTCAACTGAATTCAAATAAGAACTAGTTATTAAACCCGTTATTGAAATAATGGGGACTAGTGAAATTTTCCACTATTGCATTTTCTCAGGGTAGAAATATTAAGTATTTTAAAGGCTACTAAACTTAAAGGCAAAGATGATAGAAAATTATATGTCCATATGTGACAAGATGATATTATGTTGATATACTGTAAAACTGTTCACAATAATTGCAATCTGGACCCCATAATTATGCAGTCTCAATAAAAAAAAATCACCTAGACTAGTCTTATTAGATAACTAGGTTGATTAAAACTGTATTTGATCTTTATCAAGATGCTATATAATATCTAATAAGGGTTTAATTACACACAAAAATCTCTTTTCAGAAAAAAAAGGTGTACCAGTCTCTTCAGGAAAACTAATAATAAAAGTAACAATCACCACAAAACATGGATACAGAAGGCAACTAGAGATCTGTTATCAATATTTGATTCCTGGGAAGGTACTGGAGTAAGTGACTGCTTTTCAGTTCAGCTCCTGGTTGGGTTTCAGACATTAAACAGTGGGGAAATCATTTGCTGATTTTCTTGGAAATTTCAGAAGTTTTAAATAAGAAATTCTTCTCAGCAGATTACTTCTACTATGTTTAGAGATGTTTTTCATATACAACTGAAGGCACCAAGTACACCAACACTTCTTCCTATTTTCCCTACAACATTCCTGTGAAGAATTGGGATAGTAAGAGTGTAACTGGTCCAAAGTCACCCAGCTGATTTTTCATGTCTAAGGCAGGACTAGAACTCACACTCTCCTAGTTCCTGGCTTTTTCTATTATTTTTTTCCAGATTAAATGTAATCTATTCCTAGATACAGGCCCAGTTTCAGAAGGCAGCACTGGTAAATTATTGCTCTGCCCTTTCCTGTTGCTGTAAGACATGCTATAATGTCTTATAGGTAGTCCTTACTTAACGACCATTTGTTTATCACGTTTGAAGTTGTGATGGTGCTGAAAAAAGTGACTTACAACCGGTCCTTGCCCTTAGGTCCACAGTAGTATCCTTGCAGTCAAATAATCATGATTCAGGCACTTGGTAACTATTACACATTTACTATGGTCGCATCTTGTGGTTACATGATCACCATTTGCAACCTTCCCAGCTGGCTTCTGACAAGCAACATCAATGTGAAAACTGGAAGGAGATTGCAAGTTGCGGTCATGTGATGCCTCATTTAACCGCAGCAAAAAAAGTAGTAAAACTGTGTGTGGTCATCATGTGATGCCTCACTTAATGACCACACCATTTAATGATAAATTTTTGGACCCTATTGTGGTCGTAAATCAAAGGCTACCTGTATAAAGTTCTACTGTATTCCTCATATTACCTATGAAACTGATGGCCTAGGTTATTTGGAGTTATGGAAAAAATACAACTAATGCATACCTGTCTCTTTATATCAATTCCAACTAAGATAAAAGCTGAGATGAAAACATTTGAACTGAGACTCAACTACATGCACCTAATGAAACATAATTGATGCAATACAGCTGTCAGCTTTATTTTCCTTCATAAGTATTTTTTTTTAATGTTCTCTCTGTTTATTTTCTTATGTTCCTGGTCTTTGGCTCTGTTTTTAAATAGTTTTTGATTAGTGGGTATGATAGAAATTATAGAAAAACAATAAATAAATATCAAAGAAACAAGTCATAGACAAGCAAGATTCTATAACTATTTGCCTCCTAATAATATTCCCTATAAAAGCATTTAAAAATCACAGAAATCAATGCAAATTTGAAATTCTTATAACACTGCATGAGCAAAAGTTCCCATTCTACTAGCAATCCTCGTTTTAAAATCTCTTGAGAAAATGAAGTAAAATCTTATTTGATATGAAACACTTACTTGAATTGCTGAATTCATGAAACATGTATTTCCCAAATTACTTAGACCACAAAGACCGGGCTGTTCATTGTGTCTTCCTGGCTCTGAGTAGTCATAATTTTTATAAGCAGTGTATGAAGGAAGGCAGTAGTTTGAATTTTTCATGCTGGAAGAAAAGATATTTACCTTGTAATTGCATGAGCTATAGTTGTGTAGCTTGAATGCATATGTAGCTGAAATATTTAGGCTCTGAATTTAAACACAACAACAATAAAAATTCTTCAAACTCTTTTTAACTTTTGATTTAAAAAGTAGCATTTTTTAATATTTCAGCTGAAAAGTTAAAATTTTTGGCACTACCAGATATATAGCATGGTTAAATTCTGCTACTGTTAAATGCTAAAAGCTGGAAACAGCAAAACTTTAGCAACAGGCAAGATATAAAGATTTCCAAGAATAAACTGCTAAATACATTATAATTTTGTTTTTAGATTAACCACTATGCCAGCACAAAATGAAGCAATAAGCATGGAATAATAAAGGCTCCATATAATACCTTTAAGCATTGTATTTTAATTTGTTTTATAATTTCATATATCAAGATATACATATCTGATCTATTTATAGTAGGAAATATTTTGAGAATTAAATAATATGTTATATTACATTAAAATATAAAACTAGGAAAAACTAAAGTATCGCAAAACATAAAAAGCACCAGTCTTCAGAATCTTGTTTTGCTTACATATGGATTTATAGACATATTAATATATGCAAGTGAAATTTACATGACATATGTACAAGTAATTGTATCAACATTCCAGCCACAGAGATAGATATGTGTCTTGTGAGACTAAAACAGTGGGTTGGTTACACAGGTAGTAGCTGCATCTGTGCACATACAGTAAATGCACAGTAAACTTACTAAAACGTAATGAATATTTTTAAACAGTATTTATATATTTTCTAAAATGAATATTTTTAAAGGAAAAAACTCACTGTATTAATATACAAGTTTATTAACTATCCAACACTGAAATGATGTAATAAATGTAATCATACATTTTCCCATTTAAATCTGAATATTAGAATTAATATTGCTTAAACAATACAAAAACAAAAACCATCTTCTAGTTCTGCATTAGAACCATGATTATGACACAGCAGACTGGAGGTTATTGTTGTGGAACAATACCTTCACAATTTCATTTGTTTTTTCTTCTGTAAAAGTATGTTAATCACCGTATAAGGTTACAAATGAACATAGTTACATAGGAACATATATGATAAATTATCAATTCCAATAGGTAATTCAGAATGGGATCTTTACTATGCAGGCTGCCAATTAAATGTACATTACATGACCTGGAATTCAAATAGTGATGTATACAGTTTGGTTTTACTGGCACATACACTACTCTATACACTAAGGTTTTTATTCAAGGGAAAACACTGATACATCATTAGAGATCTAAAAACTATAATACTGATATGACAAAACATATTGTTAATATATTCTGGTGAGAGAATGGGGAAATTAATTAAGATACTGAACTTACAATATAATATATAGAAAAAGATATAAAAATAGAATTACTATAAATTTGTGAAGAAACCATTTTATCAGTAAAGCAGAAATAATGCTTAATATTTATGTTTTTAACAACTTTCTCTATTTTTTCCCACTACTTTATATACAATATTATGAAAATAAACAGTAAATAATCAAATCAATTTTGGTAAGGGTTCTTATTTCCTTGGGGGAATTTTTTTTTTTTGACCACCACCGCTCATAATTTTTGTACTCCTTTTAAATTAATATTTTAATTACAATATCCATACAATTGATACCATTCTTATTAAAAGAATAGTTATAGTAGGAAGCTTATTCATGATTGATGAAAGTAGTTTTTAGTGTATCAATGCTGTAAAGTAAGCATCCTGTAAGTAGAGAGGTTGCACTACCTGTATTGCTGAAATAAAACAGTAGTACAACAAATTCAGAAAGTAGTTTGAAGTTAAAGGTATGCATATAAAAGAGCTGATTTATAAAAGTAATCCATCAAAATTGCATGCTTCATAACTTTCTTTACATTTTAACTGAGTTTATATAGAGAGAAACATTTAATCTGAGGCTTTGGGGCACAAGAAAAATAAGCATATTTAGGGAATTTCAGCCTATTTTACTCATTAAGTAAAGTATTCAGAAAATTTGGGGGTGGGGGAGGGGAAGCATGATATCATACAGGTATGAATGGTGTAACAAGGATTTTTTAAAAAATAAAAAATGCAGTGATCTTCAACTCTAAGAATCAAGCAGGAAAAATCCTTTGTGTTAAGGCACGTAGAGTCACTGTTTAGAGCAGGGGTGTCCAACCGTGGCAACTTTAAGACTTGTGGACTTCAACTCCCAGAATTCCTCAGCTGGCTGAGGAATTCTGGGAGTTGAAGTCCACAAGTCTTAAAGTTGCCAAGGTTGGACACTCCTGGTTTAGAGTGAGATGGATGGCATGCTAATTTAATGAATGAATGAATGAATGAATGAATGAATGAATGAATGAATATGAAGCAAGTTATATAAATACAACACCAGTGGAGAATAATAGTGTTTTAAAACAATTACTTTTTTTAGGCTGATAAATAGTAAAATACAATGGCTGTATGTTTTAAATGCTGTTTTAAAAACATATCTGTGAGTCAATATCAGGTAAAAAGGATATTCTAAAATAGATCTGTAAGTCTATCTATAAGTCAATATTTATGATTGAATAAAGTAAGATTTAAATTCCTATGAATTCAGCACAATTCAGTTCCAACTATGTTGGACCATAGATTAAAAACAAAAGGCTAATCACAATGTACTACAAATAGATCCCTTACATTTCTATTCAAAAAAATCAGCTCAGATGAGTTCAGTACAGTTTTCTCTCACCAAAATGACTCTATCTATAAAGAAATTGTGAAGGAGGAGGAAAGAATATAAACTTGTTCATTGCACTATGTCCATCATTTAACAGGACTGCATGCATAGAAACTGTAACTTGCTAAAATGCCCACCTTTCTTCCAAGCAAGCCCAAACACCTGCTTTTAAAAAATAAAACATAATAGGAGCCCAAGTAAAATCATAGCGATTGTATATGGAATCAACTTCTAGGATTGCACCTGGATTTTACCAGTACAGTAGGAAGCACAGAATTCGCCAAAATAAACTATTATTTCCAAGTTATTACTTAGCTAAACTTTAGAAAGGTGTTTTACAAAATCTACAGTAGAGGAAGTCTCTGTGTTTTAGAACTACAACATTGTATAACTGAATTAAGAAGCTACCCTTAAACTGCATTAACTTAAAATATAAAAAATGCCTGCCTGCTAGTTATCAGACAATTCCATCAAATGGAAATACAACTGTCCTTCTTATAACAAAGTCAAGACAATTTTATATTTTTTTAAAAAATATATTTTAAAATGATATTAAAATAGATAACTGTCTCATAACTTTAGACATTGTGCTTTTTTATATAACACTGTCACTATTCTAATAAAATGATAACATCAATTGAGGCCTGGTTTAAATACATCAAATAATTTTTTGAGTTTATGATACACACACACACGCACACACACACACACAGTACAATAGACTACAGTTAAATACATGTATTTGTCTAACAGAGAGTTGGGGCTACTCACAATTAGTAGAAGCACAAATGCCACTTCGCCCCATACGAAAACTCCCTTCTCATAAATGCAGTATTTAACTGGAAGATATTGTATAAAATATTTAGAAATATTACTATGAAACACTAAAACATTTTAACAATTGCGTCATAGCCACAAATTTTGAGAAGCAACATTGCATTTGTAACTACCATTTTTTTTCAGTACGTCTATCAGAAAGCAATAAGCCTAGTAAAAAGCGTATATATATATTTTCATATTTGTAATGAGCTGTAGAAAATGCAATGAATTTAACATATACAACTCCAAATTAACTAAACTGTTTGATAGATAATGTTTTAAAACTATTGTAGTATATTATATTTCTATTAGGAAAACAGTTAGAAGATAATAATAATAATAATAATAATAATAATAATAATAATAATAATAATAATAATA